GTGCATGTTGTGAAGTTGTTTGATAGAATTGAGTGAATCAGTTAACATGAGGAAGTTTGTTTGGGGAGGGTGGTGGGTATTAGGTGAAGTGCAGTGAGGATGGCAGTGAGTTCACCAGTGTTTATTGTGGTGTGGTTGGTATAGTGGAAATGAGTTGTGATGGGAGGGGTTTGTTGAACATGTATGCCTAGGCCTGTGGTTTTGTTTGTGTTGATTGATGCATCTGTATATATGTGAGTGTGGGTGGGGTAGTTTGTATTTATGTAGTTTTTTGTGATATTAGTTATGTTGGTTTGATGGGTGTCTTTGGGTAGTTGTTTGAGGATTGTGTCAAGGGACATGTCTGTGGTGGGTGGGGGTTTGTCGTGAATGTAGCTTGTAATGGGAGGTGTGTGTTGAATGGTGTTTAGCTGTTGTGCATGTAGCAGACTGTATAAGTGAGTAAGGCATGATGCTTTAAATGGGTTTGATTTGAACTTTTTAAGTGTAGATTTCTTAATGTTTTTATATTTGTTTGTGATTAGTTTAAATATGGGTTGTGTGTTGGGCCCCAGCCCAGTAAGTGAGTGTGGTTTGGTTTATTCTTTGTGTGATTGAAGAGGTGCCTGTGAGTAGAAGTAATGTGTTAAGAGAGGTACCACTCCTCGCGCCGAGAGCTAATTTGAGGGCTTTAAATTGAATGGAATTAAGTTTTGAAGATTATGGGAGGTGAGGTTGTGGAGAATCGGGGCGGCGTAGTCCAATCCTCGATAATATGAGAGTTTTATATATGTTGATGAGGGTATGTTTGTCGGCACCCCAGTTTGTAGGCCGCTGATGGCTCGCATTAAGTTTAGATCTTTTGACATGAATTGACCAAGTTATTAATGTGGGGTGTCCATGTCAGATGGCGGTCGAAAGTTACTCCTAGAAATTTGGCTTCTTTTTTAATTCAATTTCTTGGTTGTTTTAGGTGAAGTTTGGGGTATAATTTTGCATATACTGTGTTTTGAATAATATGCCCACGGTTTTTAACGTTGATGTGAAACCCCATTTTGGGCCCAGTTTTGAATGGAGTTTAGCATTTTTGAATTTTGAGTGATGCCTGTTTAACTGAGGTTGAGGAGGTCCAAAATGAAATATCGTCTGCAATTTGGCAGTTGTGATTTCTGGCCATTTATCTGGAAAAATGTCATTAATCATGAAGTTGAATAAAGTTGGGGATAATATGCTCCCCTGGGGGTTCCATTTTCTAACCCGGAAGATCCGGGTAGAAGAGGTGTTGTGAGATTTGATTGTTATTTGTCTTGTCGTTTAGGACTAAAAGAGACTTGGTTGGACACATCATCGGGTTCCCAATTGCGCAGATCGATGCTCATGCTGTTGATCACTGGAATTGACTCGATTGTTATTTACAGACCAGCCATATAGCTGGAATATTGTTGAGGCGGCGTGTAAAACTAAACTCTTCACTCCTCTCACTCTCACTCCCGTGTGAGATTTGATGGCATGAAAGAGTGAATGAAATTTTGAAGTTTTGAAGTTTTTGTAGGCCGTCAAGCAGCCAAACCATGTCGAATGCCTTACTGAAGTCAATAATAAAATGGCCATAGTGTATTGTTTCTGAGCTTGTGCTACTTTGATATCTTGTTCTAAATGTAGAATGTGGTCTAAAGTTTGTCGATTTGGAGTAAAGCCGCCTGGTCCCTCCTTAAGTAAGTTGTTGGTTAAAATAAGGTGTTTGAGCCTGTTGTTTTACAATTGTTTCTAGGGTTTTACAGAGGTGGGAGGTAAGAGAGATGGGGCGGTATGAGTCAGGCTCACTGTTGGGTTTCCCTGGTTTGAGGATTGGTACCACTCTGGCTGTTTTCCAAGTGTTGGGGATAGTTCCTGTGGTCCAGATATGGTTAAAGAGGGTAAGTGTGAGGTTATGCATGTTGGGGGGTAGTTTATTTAGTATTGTGTATGTAATGGTATCTGGACCTGGGGCTGAGGCTGATTGTTTGTTTTTTAGTGCGGATTTGAGTTCATGTATGTTGATAATTTTATTTATGGGTTGGTCAGTGTGAGGAGGTTGTGGGGTGTAGGGGGTGGTTTTTGATAGTGTTTTGGAAGGTGGGTGAGTAGTTGGTGGAGCTGCTTGTAGCCGAGAAGTGGGCAGCAAATGCATTTGCTTTATCTTTGTTTGTGGTTAGGTCTGGAAAGTTAGGTGAAATGGTTTTTTAGAAATGCCCCTTTATGGCTTTAAATTTATTCCACATAGTCCCGGATTTCGATGAGATTGCCTGAGGGTAGAACAGAATTTCCTCCAATGGGTGATTTTGCCTGCCTTGATAATTTGTTTAGTTTTGTTAACGTAGTTGTTTAGCTAAATGTAATTTGGAACGGTCCCTTTGATTGATTAAGGGCCTTTTTCTAGCCTTCTGGCATTTATAATTTCATGGCTCCACCACGGGACTGTTTTTGTGCGGGTTAAACCGAAAAGTGGGAATGCATTTATCTGTGATATTTAGGATAGTGTTTGTAAGATTACTGTTAAATGTGTTTATATCGGGGCTGTAGATGGATGAGGTGTTTACTTGGTTGCATAGTATTGTGAATTTTTTCCAATCTGCTTTATTAATGTTGTATCTAGTTTCTGTGGGTGTGGGTGGAGGAGTGGTGGTTGGTGAGGTGGGGATGTGTGAAGTTATAGTGATTTTAATGGGGCAGTGGTCGCTGCCCCAGGTGTCGTTGTGTACCTCCCATATGCAAGCTTGTGTTAGTTTGGGTGTGGTGAAGGTGATGTCTATGGCTGTGGGTGAGAGGAGGTGGGAAAGAGGGTAACGGGTGGGCTGGTTGTCATTAAGTGAAGTGAGGTTGTGTTGGTCTAGCCAGTCGGTGAGGCTGGTTCCGTTAATATCTGTGTGGGTCTTGTGCCCCACAGTGGGTGATGTGCATTGAAGTCTCCGAGTAAAATGGTATTGGGGGCTATGAATGTGGAGAGTATTGCCAAATCTTGGGAAGTGATTTTGATATTGGGGCTTCTGTAGACATTTAATAATGGTGATTTCTTTGTTGTTTAGTTTAGTGTTTATAGCCAGGACTTCTGAGGTTGGTAACAGGAATTTGCAAAATGGTATAATTAAACTTTTCTGAATATAAATGCCCACCCCCGCCAGGGGGCCTGGTGATTAGGGTGGCCGAGGTCTATCCTTCCGAATGAAATTGTAGCCTGGTATTTTGAAGGCGTTTTTGGTGATAATCTGGTTTCTTGAGAGTTATAACATCGGGGAAATTTTGTTATGGGCTATGAGTGCCTTAAGCTCATGCCCATGAGCTCGAGACTATTACAATTCCACTGAATAAGTGCCATGGTAACTGTAATTTGGAATAAGATTTGGAGTAAATACCATGGTGTGGGGCATGAATTTGAAAAAGAGGGAATTTAGTGCTTTAGTAGAGGTTGTTGTGTTTAAAAGGTGTTTTGATGGCTATGAGGAGACTGGCTAGGCTTTTATGGTACAGTTTGGCTTTGTGTGCTAGTGTGTGTAATTTTTGCTGTGGGTTTTTCCATGAGTATGGCCATGATGATGAATTCTATTACCTTGTTTAAGTTTTGGTGAAGTTTTGTGGTGTGAGAGTTAAGTGTGGGTTTGGGGGTGGGTGCTGGGTGTGTTTGGACAGTGGGGGTTGGGTTTTGATTGTGGGTTTGATGTGGGTGGTTTGTGTTGGGGATGTTGGGGGGGGGGAGGGTTAATGGTTTGGGTGGAGGGGTGCGGTTTTAGGGAGTGTTTGTTTTGGGGCAGTTGGGGTGGGTGTGTGGGAGGAGGGTTGTTTTGATGGTTGTGGTTTATGGCGGGTTTGGGGAGGTGGAGGTGGGGGTGGTTTGGTGAGCAGGGGAGGTTTGGTGGGTTTGGGTGGGGAGGGGTGAATAGAATGACGAGTTGGGGGGGAGGAGGGTGTAGGGGAAGATAATGAGGCTGAGAGGATAGAGTTGTATGCGAGCATTGGGCATGCTGGTTTGGGCAGGTCGGTGTTTTTAATGTGTTTGTTGAGCCTGAGTATGTGATTTTTGTTTGATGGGACATGTGTTTTGTGTAGCGGTGTGGCTGGTTGTGTCGCAGTGAATGCAATATTTTGTTGGCGACGTTTGTTGGACGATACATAAAATAAATAAACAAATAAATGTTTTAAATAAACAAGCATTTTTCCAATTGATCTTATTCCGATTTTACTTGTCATGTGACCATAATGGCGGCCTGCTTCATGTCATTGACAATGTAAACTGGATAAACTCACTGTCATTGCTGATTGGTCTAATCACTGATACTCCCCAGCTACATAAAACAATGAACAACTTATCAGGGCTGGCTTCCAGTTGTCAGTGTATTGTTAACTGCATGACGACAGCGAGCTGTAAGTAGGATGTTTGTTTAGCCGGAGACTGACACGTGCCCCTCATGTCGGATTATGTGGTGATCGCTAATTTAGTTATCCGGTCTCTTTTGTTCAGGAATTTACTTCCAGGGATCGTGAAAAAAACTTTAGTTCAGCGGTATTGTTTACTTATCCGAGTTTAGTTAACCGGACCCTAATAATGATAATTAATGAAGAAATTTGCCGGGACCAAAGAATAGTGTTTACTTATCCGGTATGTTTAGTTAAGCGGTCTTTACTTAGGCGGTTTCCACTGTATATATAAATATACAGTCCCGATATGACATAGGTGGCCACTTATAACGCTCTTCAGGTTCCAACCATATCTACATATTTTAATCTCGCGTTTACGTATTCAGTATTGTAAAATTGACAATGATTCTATTCATGGTAACATCAGCTCTAACATCTGGAACATTTTGTTTAATGCAAAAGTCGCTGTGGCTGAACGGGTTAGGCGACTGACTTTGTGTGCTGGCGATTAGGTGCCAGAGGGTGTGGGTTCGAACTTACTATAATCTGTAACAGATGTCACATTTAATCACTTTCTAAATGGCATTGTGTAATCAATTAAGTGTTTTAGCCGAGTATCAAAACCAGGCTAGCAGAAGAAAAAGGATTTATTCCCCACATTGTATTTGTTTTTACATTTGAATTAGAAAGACGATCTGTTGTTCTGCGCATGTTTCTCTCGCCGTCTTCTCATCATTCCCTGTCATGCAAGTACAGCTCCTCCCATTTTCTTTCTCAACAATAGTGATAAACCCCCGTCAAAACCAGCCGGTGGCCGAAGATCCCACGTTGATCTTGATAACCTTCGTAAGCCTCCAATCTTTGCTGTGTGTCATATAAAAGCATTATCAAATTTTGTAAAAATACTTTACATAATTACACATCATGCATTATCAGAAATGTCTTAGCCATAAAAAGCATGTTAAATTAAGTACACTCCGAAAGAAATGGTAATATTTATCTAACAGTGAATAATACACCACGGATTAGATATAATCGATTTAGATTAATGAAGGCAAATTATGGATGATGGATGTTTTGATCATAACAGAATAAGACGTCGACATACATAAAAGTATCTTCCCTTAACAGATTATATATGATACAAAATAGAATTTAAGAGTCGCTATATAACATATTCACTACTTTTATACATTAGGAGTAATTAAAACTGGTTAATAAAATGGAACATTTAATGACATCGGCATGGTGAATGTCCAAAAGTTCCACCAGTTGAGAAATGTGAATCAAAAGTATTTCTGTTTGCTGCTTAGGACCAGTCAGTTCCTATTCGTAACGTCAATGTGTGATTTTACATCAAACTGTAATTCTGATTGTGTAATGAATTTAATTAGACGTGGATGTCCAGCTTTGGCTCAGACACATGATGCTCGGTTGTTTTATTATCGTTTTCGTCATTCTTGTGTCCACACTTCCTAGATTTTAGTGTTCACCCGCTAGTGCATGCTCATGTCGCACTACATGTACAGTGACGAGGAAGGACGAAAAATCTGTGCCGAGTGAATTGAACTTTGTAAACTCACGAGGGACAGATAATCCGTCCTTCATCGTGACGAGTACATTTAGTTTATTGTTTTTATGAACCATTGTCATGAGAGGCTAAAACGATCTTAACACAAATCCTTTATGTGAAAGGCGAAAGCGTATTTTGCCATTTTTCTAAGCGTGTGAAATAGCAAAATTTCCAGGAATGTCAGCTGAGCACAGACCAACTACAAAGTGATTCTACGATAGTCAAATTGATTAATTGGAACGCATTGATTTCTAAGAATATGAGAAACAGTTTTCCAATTTAAGGATTCAGCATTAATTTGGTATCAAAATTAAATGTTTGGAAGTAAAGGATACAGGGTATCTGGTAAGTAGTCAGACATGTTAAAATTGTTCACTGGCCAATTTAGCCGTTGCCATTGCACCAGGTTAGATTGTTTGAAAAAATGCTGAAAAATTAGCAATTACACAAAATTACACAACGTCAACCAAACGTAATGGCACAAGCTGATTAGAGAAGGGCGCGACGGATGGTTTTGAATACTGATAGTGGAACTGATTGACAGATGATGTAAATACTGGTAGTGGAAGGGCGAGACAGATGATGACAGAATACTGGTAGTGGAAGGGCTAGACAGATGATGACAGAATACTGGTAGTGGAAGGGCTAGACAGATGATGACAGATTACTGGTAGTGGAAGGGCTAGACAGATGATGACAGAATACTGGTAGTGGAAGGGGTTGACAGATGATGACAGAATACTGGTAGTGGAAGGGCTAGACAGATGATGACAGAATACTGGTAGTGGAAGGGCTAGACAGATGATGACAGAATACTGGTAGTGGAAGGGGTTGACAGATGATGACAGAATACTGGTAGTGGAAGGGGTTGACAGATGATTTGAAATACAGGTACCGGAAGGGTTAGAGACGGTTTGGAATACTGGTAGTGGAAGGGCGAGACAGGTGATTCGTAATACATAAAGTGGAAGGGTTAACGGTAGTGGCAGGGCTAGACAGATGTTTGGGGATACTGGGAGTGGAAGCGCTTGAGAAATGTTTGATAGTGGCTGTGGAAATCTTAAACAGATGGTTGGGAATTCTATCAGAGGATGGGCCGATCCCACGATTGGGAAGGGGTGAACGATGCTAGCGTTATTAGCCAGATTTTCAGTGTCCCTTACCAGGCCGTTCCGTTCTGCCATGTCTCCCTCGTGCAGTGACAGATTTAGCGGTCAACAGGCTGACTGAAATTGAACAATATCAAGCCTATAAGCGATACTAAATACTGCAGTTCAATACTAAGCGCCTGTGTCACGGCCGCTTCTGTCAGTCACGTTACACCCAAATACACCTAATATACTACTGCCTTAAAGTTACCATGCACGTGTTGAGAACGCATGAAAAACGTATGTGATACGCGTGCTAACGGGGTTGCACACGAAGTGATCATCCATTGAACATGCGTTGTTGGGCTTGGCTGTCAGTTCCTCGACTCAGCCCATATCGAGCCAGCATTTATGAAGGTCAAACAACAAGCAGTGACACAGAATCTGATCGCCCTCTGTGAATATTTTGAGTCGACATGGATCCGAAGCTCTGTGTGGACCATTACAAATTGGAGCGTGTTTGGGACGGCCATCCGGACGAACAATGACCTGGAAAGCTGGCACAGGCGCTTAAATCAACTGTCCGGGCGACGTTGCCTACCTTTTTACAGGCTGCTTCCCCTCCTCGTCCGAGAAGCTGACCTGCTTCCCCTGCAGATTCGCCTTGTGACAGACGGTCAGCTGGACAGAAGGCAGCATGCTGGCCAGCGTGCCAAGGCGGATAGAATTTTTAGATTATGGGACGATTCCAGGCAACAACTATTACCATGTCCCAGCTGCTGAGGGAGGTGTCAAAACTAAATGGGCCAATGGTCACTGGTGACTGTGTTACTACTGTGATACGTGCTGTTTTGAACATTGTTGTTAAATATATTACATTATCACTCTTCCATAACAATGTTGTCTGTCTTTTTACATTTTACGACGCTTCATCTTTATTACACATACAGTCACATAGTAACAATATTTTCGTATCACTGAAAATAAAAATACAACACAAACCCGATATATAAAAAATACATTTAAAACAAGTGTAGACAAGAGACGGGAAAATATTCGTTCACTCTTCATTCAGCTGTCCTTAGTTTCGTATCACTGAAAACAACGCATACGGGAAAATATTCATTCACAATTTCCTTGAGCTGCACTTCAGCTGCCCTTAGTTTCGTATCACTGAAAAAAAAAGCATTCTCAGTAACAAATTTAGTTTCTACATTCTATATAGATTCCATTATTTATACACGTCTACGAATTAACCGTCTACGAACCGGTTTTGGTTACGAATTCACCGCGTCTACGAACTGGTTTTGTCTACGAAATCACTGTCTCCCATAGATATCATGAGTAACAAATTTAGTTTCTACATTATATCGATTCAATGCTCTATTTTACACATATTTTCATGCTATTAGTTTCACTATGTATTTCTCTGACCTTGGAACTAGGCACGAGACCAATCTGAATCATTTGGGACCAATTACGTCATAATCTAAGGGGGTAATTCTGACCTTTTTTTAGCTCTGAAAGCAAAAGCTTCATAATGGCATAACATTTCAACACGTCAGCGTATTTCAACATGTCAGTGTAAAGCTTCTAACATTGATAGTAATTACATGTAATTCTAAAATTCCCTATGTTTTCACACAGGAAAAGGAGTTATGTTTTCGTGTACACTTCCCCCCTTATCTTGCGGCATGGAATCGTCATTGGCTGGCACTAAACAGAGAATATATACACGAGATATAAGGCATTAACCATCGTGATCATGATCAACAGTAGCATCTGCAAACGTTTGATTTGAGAATGTGAAATTGATTTTTTGTTAAATCAGTTGCTTCCTTCAGTTGTTCGGTTTGGACCCTATGACGGATAATTTCTGTTGTCATGGCATGCTCAAATCTGCTGCAAAGGCCAACAGACTTAATCAAATATATGCGTATCGCACCATGATACCACTGTACAAGGCACTGCACTGTACACATATATACAAAAGTCTTAGTACTTACTAAGAACCATCACAAGGAACAACTTCATATTTGTCAACGAGATTTCGCAAACCAAATCTACAGTATGGCTGGAAGTGATTGCTGTGTAACAACCTTGCACTAAATATCCTTTCCAATTACAGAGGATGTTTGAATGGTAGCAGCTTGAATTAGTATAAAGGAGATTTATTTTCATATTATTTGTTTCCATAATGGAAACTGTATTCGGATTTCTTAATAAACCGATTCACATTTTATCATGTTACATCGGATGAATGTGACTTATTATTACACTGTATAATAAGGTTGAGTGAGACATCGGCTTGTCAACTCACAAATATTATGTGCATGGCTATTTGTTTCTACTCTGACAAGTCGATAGAATGTCCAATAATGTGTAATTCATCTTGTGCACTTAATTACAAAGACGCTACAGATATAGTATCATGGTCCTTTTGTTATATTCATTTAAGATAATGGTTACGTTATATCCAGCATTTGCACTCTGTATAATTGGACGGATTCCAAATATTCTAACATATGTGTTTATATACATATACATGGGGAAGTTGCAAGTATGTCTGTTACTGAGAAGGTTCGATTAACCACAAAATTACCACAATGGAAAGCTGTACTTACAAAAACGAATCCACACATAAAATGTCTAAGTTAGTTCTTATCACGAAGACCGGGATTCAATACATACCACGTTGATAAGATAAATATTTTAAAGAAAATAATCGGTGATAACCCACTTGAAATGAAAGTTTTTGACAAAGCATATAGACCATACTCAATTAAAGAGTGTACTCATGGTGCCACGTGTAGAAACAAATGGCTTCATCAGAACACCCTAATCGTAACGTGTAACGTTTAATCGCATACAATTAGTTGCAGCAGCGTTGTAAGAAATGGAAATTGTCCTCCGAGTCGCAGGCCCGCAACCAATTAAATCGCTTAGATCCACCTCACCGCAGGCCCGCAACCAATTAAATCGCTTAGATCCACCTCACCGTAGGCCCGCAACCAATTAAATCGCTTAGATCCACCTCACCGTAGGCCCGCAACCAATGAAATCACTTAGATCCACCTCACCATAGGCTCGCGACCAATTAAATGGCTTAGATCCACCTCACCGTAGGCCCGCGACCAATTAAATCACTAAGATCCATCTCAAAGTCACGACCCTTTGTTTGTGTCCACATGATGTCGGAGACGAGCCTGAAAAAGAAACTGCACGGGGTTCGCCTGAGGATCTAGCTGCGAACCCAGTTTAGGCTTTCGTTTTTTCCTTTTGTAGTGACTGTGATGTGTGTGCTGTCATTACGCCAACGTATTTTCTTCATTTGACAAATCCATGTAGACAAGTCAGGGAAGACAATAATGCAAGATGCGAGTTGTATTCGACTTAAAACTACTCAATAAACAAATTCGATACGATATTTATTGTCACTATAAGTCTTGTTGCTAGAGTGAGTGAGTGAGTTAATATTTAACGTCACATCGGCAATATCTCAGCCATATCGTCTTGTTGCTAGAACTTTTAAAGTGCAGCTTAAATAAGTCCCCACTTTAGTACAAACCCGACACTGTTGCGAAAGACTTCGTTCTGTGATCTTAACAATGTACATGACTGTTTGAATATAAAACAAATTCAAGCATTTAAAAATTGACTTCATCATTTGTGGCACGCAACTGAACTTCTTCAGAAGTGATTGTCATGAACACAAGTCATTTGCGCAAGTTGTTCTGTATGTGCGAAAGTAGTTTTTTTCTTTACCTGAAACTTCTCATAGACAAGATTGGGGTCTCACAAAGGATTACATATGTATTTACAATAATGATAATACTAAAAATGTACACAGAGGTAAATCCAATAGTACTATTACCACTATTTGCCAACTCAAACCTGAAATCATAAACACCACGCCAAACGTGTCAACGTATTCTCCAAGGATATCCAATTTGCCCGTTCGCTGAGAGTACAAACACCACAACTATCACAAGCAGGACGTGAACATCGCTTTTGTGAACACCTTTTGTCATCGATGACTTACAGCATTTCTTTCATATAATGTCCACCTCCGCTTGCCCTTTACTTCCAATGGAATCTTTTCCATTGTTAAAACAAGACTAAAAATACTCTGGCGTTGACGTTCAAACTTACAAAATTCAATGCTTCAGTTTTGAAGCTGAAGTCTTTGTGTTTCATCAAAAACCCATCAGTGGCATTATCTAAGCTGTAGGAACTGCAACAGTGGTCGGCCGTTAAACTGAAACTCCCTCCTAACGTCATATAAAAAGAATATGTGTCTAGTATTCCAGTTCTAAGTAGCAAAACTCTTACAAAGAAGACGTAATTAAAAAATAATATATTTGCCATTGTCACGAATACCCGGGGTCATCGCAATGTTCAATAGTCCGTACATATCATATCCACCGCTATTTTATCTTTAGCGGTCCGTACATATCATATCTACCGCTATTTTATCCTTAGCGGTCCGTACATATCATATCTACCGCTATTTTATCTTTAGCGGTCCGTACATATCATATCAACAGCTATTTTATCTTCAGCGGTCCGTACATATCATTTCCACCGCTATTTTATCTTTTGCACTCAATGAAACCTGGAATTGTATTTGTGGGCGTTCAGGATAACGATTCACATGTTCTTCTTTGAAGTATGAGTTTAAATCTGAGGAAATTTCAAACACTTCAAATTTGTCACTACGAGGCCCTTGTTAAATATCTTAAATTAGATCAAATGAATTTCCAATGTCCCCTAACTTTACGTTACCTGCAAACCCTTCGAAAATACCAAAGTAATAAAGAAATGGTCACATGTATAACCCAGTAGACATATAACAATCTGAAGTGGGATTGATGTGACTGAGACATTAAACCTGACCACAACTTTGATGTAAAACAAATCTATTTCCGAAATGCGTTAGTAAAAGCAAAGGAATATCTGAGTGAGTGAGTTAATATTTAACGTCACATCGGTAATGTTATCCACGTTTCAGACATATTTTAGTCGTTGATAAAGAATCTGTGCATATTATAAAATCTGTCGTCAAAGGACAGTAAAACAACTAGATTATCCCACTTAGAATTAAAAACAACTAAACTAAAAAACAAATGACATTTTTTTAGACAATACAATATAAAAACAGGCTATAGATTGCCAACAAGCGAAGGTAGATCACAATAAGGAATGTCTGAACTTCTATGCACCAGTCATTATTCATAATTCAACAAGTGGATTTTTTGGTTCATCGAAGACTTGATGGTCTGGTTTATAACAGT